TATACCTTGGTTACTTTATTATTATATTTTATCTTTTTATATATATCCAAGAACGATGAAGAACTAAAATGGAATTAGAATGGTATTGTTTAAATGAAGAAATAGAAAGTATATAACTTAAAGCTTGGTATTTCTCTTACAGTGACCTTTGACAGGTTTAATTCCATGTGGTTAATTTAAGTAATGCATTATTTTAACTGAAGTTTTAAAAGTTTAACAACATATAGTGACCTTTTGACCTTGTTTTTGTGTAACAGGAAAGAGATAAGAAATACATGCTCCAGTTGGATGGTTTGAAAATCAAAGACATTGATCCGGGTTTTATGTCCCGTCGCCACACTTATGCTCTCTTTAATCCAGATCAAAGGTAATTAAGTTATTTGAAATCAATGTTCAGTGTAATATATTATTTTTTTAAAATATATCTTCCCCTTCTAAAATCAATTTTCTCCTGATATAAGATGACGTTACCACTTAAAATCGTACTCAGTTTGTGATGGCATTTCTTAAAATATTGAGTAGTATTTGAGACTTTCACTTGATGCTTTACTGTATGTCATGACCACAATGAACAGTTTATTGTCACTCTAGACATCTGAGACTTTCACTAGATACTGGACTGTGTTGTGACTGCAATGAACAGTTTATTGTCACTCTAGACATCTGAGACTTTCACTAGATACTGGACTGTGTTGTGACCGTAATGGACAGTTTATTGTCACTCTAGACATCTGAGACTTTCACTAGATACTGGACTGTGTTGTGACCATAATGAACAGTTTATTTTCAATCTAGACATCTGAGACTTTCACTAGATACTGGACTGTGTTGTGACCATAATGAACAGTTTATTTTCAATCTAGACATCTGAGACTTTCACTAGATACTGGACTGTGTTGTGACCGTAATGAATAGTTTATTGTCACTCTAGACATCTGAGACTTTCACTAGATACTGGACTGTGTTGTGACCGTAATGAACAGTTTATTGTCACTCTAGACATCTGAGACTTTCACTAGATACTGGACTGTGTTGTGACCATAATGAACAGTTTATTGTCACTCTAGACATCTGAGACTTTCACTAGATACTGGACTGTGTTGTGACCATAATGAACAGTTTATTGTCACTCTAGACATCTGAGACTTTCACTAGATACTGGACCTGTATGTCATGACCACAATGGACAGTTTATTGTCACTCTAGACATCTGAGACTTTCACTAGATACTGGACTGTGTTGTGATCGTAATGAACAGTTTATTGTCACTCTAGACATCTGAGACTTTCACTAGATACTGGACTGTGTTGTGATCGTAATGAACAGTTTATTGTCACTCTAGA